GCGGCAGGTCAATATTTCTGCGTACCCGGTTGTGGTATGTAGCTTGTGGTACCTGCGGTTATCAGACAATACCCGTAGGATGCTGTTTTAGCGGATAATACGGCCAGGATAACTTTAAAATTCTCATTCTCGTCTACTGTCAAAACAATGTTGTTTTTAGTCGCTCAACTGGTTCTCCTTGCCTGCCTCCGGCGATTATTGATTAATTGGTGCAAATTGTGGGCTTGAATAGGATAATTCCATGATGAGAATGCGAGGCCTCGCTAGTTAGCGTTCACCTCCTTGAGTACTTTAATACCCCGAACATGCGGGCTTCTGAATCTGCGGCTTCGTGAGTTCATGAGGTACGAGTGTCTTGTAGGGCCGCTCAGCTATTTTCCCCCTCCCGTCCAACTGCCTAACGGATTGGTGGTCAAACAATTAATTCTCGGTTAACGAGTGTATATGAATATGTAATTGTGTCAAAATTGACCAAATAATACTAAAGCCACTTATAGTCCTTTAACTGTGCTAAATAGGATCAATTCTGTCAACATAAACTCCCGTTGATTAGGCAATTGATCCCTATTGATGGAAATTTGACCTTATATTGGCGAAATTGGACAAAAAAGGAAAGTCGAGCTACTGCAAAATGTAAAAATAGCTTATTATAATTCAAAGGCAAATAGGACCTTTAAAAATAGTCTTACCAAATAATGTATTACCCATTGTATCCAACAAAACCACGTGCATTATTATCATACCTTACAATTATGAAAGCTAAAAACAGTTCATACGCCATTTCGTGTTCAGCGGCAGCTGATCGAGACTGCTCTCTGTACATAATTTCTAATACTGTAAAACGAATGTTCTGCTTACTGTATCCACTTATACTGCATTTTATTATTCTCCCTCTAATGCTCATTAAAATCACAAACAAGACGTCCGTTTACATTATTATTTACGTTTATAGGGAATACCGCCGACCTTACTGTATCCACCTCTGCTCACCAACAAAAGCATTAAAACCAGACCGAAAAAAAGTAATTTCAGTGTCTCGTAGAATGTGTGGTCACAAGAGTGCAGTTTCTCAGAAAATACGCGGGCTGGTGCAAGTTGGTGGACAGTAGACTTAAATGTGCCTATAATACGTACAGTATCGTACTATCTGTACTGTAGATTAGAGTACTGTTTATGTTTTCTTTTAACCGTACAGTTTAGGGCGTAATTTTTAAATGGCCTCAAGGCTTCTTATAAACATATTTGGTGTTTAACATGCAAAGGTAGGTATTTATAGGCCCCTGTTAGTTGTCCGTCCAAAATTCGCGTATTTCCGAAATTTGCAGGGGGCCTAGGAACGCAACCTCGCGAATTTCGGTGTATTACAGTTGTTATAGCCTAGTTGTCCTAACCCGTCTAGTAGGCAGAAGAAGGCAAGACAGCGGTTCTGTTGGCAACGGCTTTATTTAACATCA